GCCGAGGCCAGCTCGAAGTCCTTGAAGGTGGAGGCCGCCGTCCTGCGGGCGAGAGAGGGGGCTGGCGTGAGGACACGGACGCGTGCCGCAGGAGACGGCGGCCCTGGGTCTGTTCGCTCGGCCAGCTGGCTTTGACTGACAAACACCTGTTTGGAATCTATAACAAGAACACGGCTTCTCCCAGATTCACCAACTACCCGTGGCTGGATTGAATTAATCAACTACAGTTACATAAACTTAAAAAAACATAGCCTTTTCACTTTAATTACGGATGAACAAATTTGTCAAATATGTTTTTGAGGAGGGGGTTAAGTACATTGAGCCTTTGAGGTCTGAATTTGTCGAGATGCAGAAAGAACTGGAATTAGTGTTTCTACAATTCGCCCCTCCCTCTTTTTATAAATCATAAAAAATGTATCTTCCTTACTTTGAACGCATATCGTTCGGTTAGAAGTGAAATGTTAAGGGAACTGATAAGAAAAGACTAAATTTTCACGTGTGATGTATATTGGTCAATTTGTATTGTAACAGGATTGTTGTGCAAGGTCATCGTGATTTCGAACAGTATCGTCTGAACTTTAAAACGGGGACTGTAATAAAGAGGAGGCGGCCTCACTGCTGGCTGTGCTGCTGGGTGGCCTCGCGGGCGAGCTCCGAGGGGGGGAACTGCACGAAGAGGTCTCCGGCGCGGCTGATCAGCGTCTCGTAGGGCAGGTCCTGCGGGATCTGGGACAGCAGGTGGTGCACCGAAGCCATGTCACACTCGCACTCCAGGACCTCCGACTCCCGGTGCAGCACGATCTGAGCGGGACAGGAAACCGGTCAACAGATACCGCCCCCCCCCCCAGGAGGGGGTGGGCCACCGTCACGCCGGACGGGACAGGTCACGGCAACAGCACGCCGGGAGAGGCGTTTCGGAAGCACAGCCAGGTACGCAGTACTCGCACTAAAGGTCAGATCACGCCAAGCGAACGAGCAGCAGATACAGAGCCCGGTTTCTAAGGCCAAAGCCGCCTAGGGACTTACCACAGCAGCAAAATAGATAGGCATCAAGGGGTGACAGGCCAGGAAGAAATCGTACAACCGCACCACATGCCTGAAGTCTGACAGGACATGGCCAAACCAGGTGATGAGCCAGCTGAGGGCAAAGATGGTACCTACCTCTGCCCTAGGAGAGAGGAGGCAAAAAAAAAACTTTAAACCGCAAAGTTTTTAACCGACCATCATTGACGTGGTTAAGCAATAACAGGGCAGATAATGGAACAGGACTCTTGTGAAAAGGTAGCAAAGCGGACATTACACGTTGCAAAGATGATCAACCCATTTGCAGAAATTCACAGGATAACTGATAGCTTTTGGGTAGTTTTGCATTAAGGCAAAATATGCAGCCTTTACCTCTGCATGAAATCGTGCACCTCTGGGTTGACTCTCTCGATGATGGGCATCAGATAGTTTAAAATGTGTTTTGTATTGTCCATTGTAGGGTCCATAAAATCCCTACAGAGGAGAAAGAGAGAGGAAACGTAAACTG